CCACACCCCCATCATTGGTCAGTCAGTCTGATAGTCCCACCCACACCCACATCATTGGTCAGTCAGTCTGATAGTCCCACCCACACCCCATTATTGGTCAGTCAGTTTGATAGTCCCGCCCACACCCACATCATTGGTCAGTCAGTCTGTTTGTCCCGCCCACACCCACATCATTGGTGAGTCAGTCTGATAGTCCCGCTCCACACCAACATCATTGGTCAGTCAGTCTGATAGTCCCGCCCACACCCCATTATTGGTCAGTCAGTTTGATAGTCCCGCCCACACCCACATCATTGGTCAGTCAGTCTGATAGTCCCGCTCCACACCAACATCATTGGTCAGTCAGTCTGATAGTCCCGCCCACACCCCATTATTGGTAAGTCAGTTTGATAGTCCCGCCCACATCCATATCATTGGTCAGTCAGTCTGATAGTCCCGCCCACACCCACATCATTGGTCAGTCAGTCTGTTAGTCCCGCCCACACCCCATTATTGGTCAGTCAGTTTGATAGTCCCGCTCCACACCTACATCATTGGTCAGTCAGTCTGATAGTCTCGCCCACACCCCATCATTGGTCAGTCAGTCTAGTGGGTTGTTGCTAGATCGGATACGTTTGAAGCCGGAAGTTAATTAGAATTATTTCTATTATGTATTAAATTTCCTTTTTACTGTATTTTATTTACGTCTACCCCCACCCCAACCCTAAACCCAGCCGTCACAGTACTGTAAAATATAATTATTGTCATACAGTGTCATAAAAACTGCTGCTATATTAATGAGCATAATCGCACTTCCGGCCGGCCGCATATCTGATCTAGACTTTACCAGTCCAGTGTCCTCCACATCTCCTCCACATCTCCTCCTTCTGTTGTGTTCTGATGTGTTTTCTGACTGTTGTAGCTGTGAAATAACTCTAATCATTCAGCGGAGTGATCTGGAGCTGTGATGTGCTCTAAACCTGCCAGAACTACTTTAGCTGACATTAACCAAACACCTGGGAGTGACCATCAGCCAATCAGAATGCAGCACTGATATGAGGTGTTATGACCAATAAAGTAGGCATCACTGCAGCCTGGAGAACTCCAAGTGGGAGGGACTTGCACCATAAGTGGGCGGGGTTTAGAGTTAGTGTAGGTGGAGTAGACATTAGTAAAGCACAGCAGGCTGCTGGGAGGTTGAGTTTAAAGTTGATATAGGTGCAGACACTCATAAAACACAAATAAGACATAAATAAATAAAAACTCCAGATTTGTACAGCCCACTTGGAGCTTAAGTCCCACCCACTTGGAGCTGGCTCCACCCTCTGTTGATACTCTTTTCAGTGAATCTGTTGTGTTTCAGAATGACACGTGGGGTGTCCAGTACTCGTACGCGCTCTTCAAGGCCATGAGCCACATGCTGTGCATCGGGTACGGCGCTCAGGCTCCGGAGGGGATGACGGACGTGTGGCTCACGATGCTCAGCATGATCGTAGGAGCCACGTGTTACGCCATGTTCATCGGCCACGCCACAGCGCTCATCCAGTCGCTCGACTCCTCTCGCAGACAGTACCAGGAGAAGGTAAAACACGACACAGCCATCTGCAGGACTGATTAAAGTGCTCTGAAATAGCATTTATAATGTTTGATGTAATCTCAACAGAAACAGGGAGAGACATTGAGTAGTTCTGCCTCTTTAAAAACAGCCAATGGCATGTTGTTTTTCTCACCGCTCTGCCAGTAAAAGTAGTTGTGCTCAAGCGCATCAGAAGAACAGCCAATAAGAAGAAGGGGGCGGGGCATGTCAGACACTAGTGAGCCTTCGATTGGTCAGGAGATTTGATGAGAAACTGAAGTATGAGGAGACGACAGAAACAGTCATTGATTTAGGTGAAAGAGACAAACTGCGAACTGCAGATCAGGTTTATATTTAGATGTTGTGGAGATGCTAAGATATCCTAAAGACTAACACTGAAACTAACATCTGAAAAAAATGTCATTTTAAGTTTGCAAAACCTTTATTCTTCATCGTCAGCTGCAACACATACATCATTAGACAGTATAGGTGCACAGCTGCATGCTGGGATATCTGTCATTGTCTTTTGTTCAAGCACACTCACCTGTAGATGATGTTGTTGTTGTTGTTGTTGTTGTTTAACCCGCTCATCTGTGAACCCTGCTTGTGGTCTTCAGGATCAAAAAGGAACGTAGGACTGTAAAGTGCCCTCACATCATTTTCAAATTAATTCCACCACAACAGATCAATTACAATTATTGTTGTGTTACCATAGCAACTGTGGAATCACCACAACAGATTAAATACCATAATTGTTGTGTTACCAACTATAGTTGTTGTGTTACCATAGCAACTGTAGAATCACCACAACAGATCAATTACCATAATTGTTGTGTTACCATAGCAACTGTAGAATCCCCACAACAGATCAATTACCATAATTGTTGGGTTACCATAGCACCTGTAGAATCACCACAACAGATCAATTACCATAATTGTTGTGTTACCATAGCAACTGTAGAATCACCACAACAGATCAATTACCATAATTGTTGTGTTACCATAGCAACTGTAGAATCACCACAACAGATCAATTACCATAATTTTTGTGTTACCATAGCAACTGTGGAATCACCACAACAGATCACTTCAAGTACTTTTACAATAGAATCGATATACAATTTTAGAGTATTTACAACAACTTATAGTATTTTCATGTGCTGATGAGTGCTGGTTAAAATTAGTAATATCTGTCATGCATGATCTGTAAATGTTTACTGAAGAAGAGTCAGACTAACTAACGCTGTGTGTGTGTGTGTGTGTGTGTGTGTGTGTGTGTGTGTGTGTGTGTGTGTGTGGTCCAGTATAAGCAGGTGGAGCAGTACATGTCGTTCCACAAGCTTCCAGCAGACGTCAGGCAGAAAATCCACGAGTATTATGAGCATCGATACCAAGGCAAGATGTTTGATGAGGATAACATTCTGGGAGAGCTGAGCGAGCCCTTA